CCAAGATCCTGAGAGGAGAAAAGAAGAGACCACAGATTCTCTGCACCACAGTCTCCCTAGTGCTCTTGAGAGTTCTCTGTCTCTCTCTGTCTTTCTGGTGAGTGTACACGCCCTATAGCAAAGCCCTCTCAAAAACAAACAACAACAACAAAAACCAGACAAACAAAAACTAAATTCAAGTTAGGTGGTGCTAACGTGAGCTGATCATCACATGAGAGAAAAAGAAATTTCAGGTAAAAACCAGTTCAACTCTTATTACATAAAATATTGTAAGTGGTTTTATTGTTACATTGAACACTAAAAGTCAATTCATGACTAATCTGGAGAACTCTTGAAACCCTGAGACTATGCCTACAGACCCCCTTGTTTACGTAAAACAGATTTAGGTTATGGGGAATGAAAAGAAAAATTTGACTCAAATATACACATACACACACCATGCATATAATCTCTATTTTTATACACTATGCAAACATTATGTTGACAAGATTACTAAATTCTTTAGTAATAAGAGTAATTGAGAGTAATTAAATCATTTATTACTCAACAAAGGGAGATGAAAAGACCAAGTAAAAAGAACAATAATCTATCTCACAGGGGACCTTACTGGTCCTAGATAAGGCAATCCTTTTCACTTGTCTTTCATTTTCTGTTCTGTAAAATGAATAGAGTATTTGATATTCAGTCTTGCTCCCAACTCTGTAGCCTGAGGAGTACCAGGTTCTGACGGAAACTTGGCACTAGTTGGGGAAATCTTAGGCATGTGTGGGTGTAGGGGACGGAAAGGTGAAGACAGAAACCTGCCTGAGGTGCTGTGAGGATGGCCTGTCTGTGTGAGGACCACGCACAGACGTTGTAGTCAGTGTCACACTGAGACCCGGCACGAGTGCACTGGCTATCTGGGGGAGGCGAGGACTGCCAGTGCCACACTTAGTCGGCAAATCTACAGAACTCACAGCCGAACCCAGTCAAAGTCCATTTACCTTCTGACTTTCGATTTTGAGAAGATTGCAGCTGTTAGCAGGTGAACATTTGGAATCTCCATTTCAGAAGGTGCTGTGGGGATCTGGCTCTGCCTTCAGCTTGGGCGATATTAATTCACTCAAAGCTCCATTTAACCGAGAGCTGCCTCCATCCTCCCCGGCCACCCCATAGATCTGTTCCCAATCAGCCCACCCCAGGACTCTGACTGTCTTTAGACACCTTCTATGTGGATGAAGGAGACACCCGAGCCCACGCGAGGAGAAGACCTAGGAGCCTGAAGGAGAAAAGGAGACACGTGAGTGATTTGGAGGGTCCCCGGTGAAGGACGGCCATAGAAAGTTGGAGAAGCTGACTAAGATGAGAAAGTAGGGCATAGGAGAGTCAGTATTCCACAGGGAAATGCTGCCACTTGTTACCAACCTCCCCTCTGTACTTTACAATCCCACTGTGCTTATTTCAAAGCGTTATTGGAGTGGACTTGCTCCTCAGCACTCCTGTGAGGCAGGCTGGGTGAGGAAGGGTACTAGGGCAAATATCAGAAACCAGGATGGTGTTGTTTCTTTGTCACGAATGGTGCCTGGCTGTTCTCTGAGCCCTGATTTCCTTGTCTGTCACACGGTGATGGTGCAGGTGGACAGACGCTGGGAACAGTTTTCTCCAGGGGATTTGTGGTCAGAGAGAGAGAGAGTAAGGGCTCAGGAAAGTAAAGTGAGATGCCCCCAGTCAGAAAGTGAGAAGCAAAATCATCCTACCTCATGGAGCTCTCATTTAACTTTGCTTTCTCTCCATAAAAATATGCTGTTTTAGCATGTAATAAACTAAAGCTATTTTAAGGTCTATATAGATATGTAAACATGAAATTTTCTGAACCAAATGAATTTATTCGTACCAGTTAATTACTATGACTACTTAACATTTTGAGGATTTAACATTTGAGGTTTTCAGCTGAAAAATAAAAAAAGTCCTAATGATCCATGATAGTTTAGTGTAGCAATCTGTACTCTTCTTTGTCATGGAATTTTAGTAGGGTAGGCACTGATCTTGGCTCTCAAAATTGTTATTCACTTTATGCCTAAACACAAACTACCACTTAATGAATTCTTACATTTCCTCTTTATTTAAAAAATTAAATAAACTTTGGGGACCAGCAGTTAGCATAATGGCTATGTCGCTGGACTCCCATGAAGTCTACTGCAGTTCGAGTCCCAGACCCAGCGGCTTAAACTCACTCTGGACGCTTGTGCGTGCGTGCCCAGGATCCCGAGAGGAGAATGGAGGAGAAGGGATTGCGGTGTGGCCATCCCCCCTGGGGGGGGTGATTTCTCACTTTCTATCTCTCTGTCTCTCTCTGTCTTTCTGGCAAGGGCACGTGCCCTATAGCGAAAAACTCTCCAAAAAAAGAAAAAAATTAAATAAAGTTTGACTTTTGGAGAATGTGATAGTATATTTACATATTAGATTACCTTTTGACGATATCCTAGTTTATCATATCTAATATTTTTAGCAATTTCAAAAGATTCTTGGCCTATATTCAAATGGTAAAATAGAGAAGTTAAGAATTTATAGGTAAAATGTTTTGATTTAAAGCTTACTTTTCAAGTCTAGTTATTTATTTACAAAAAAATGTGCCAAAGACTTTCTGTGTGCTGACGGCAGACAGTCTGAGGTGGGATGGTTCTTTGCAGTTCCTGATGTTCTGGGCTGGATGTCTCTTTGCTGCAGAGACTGCCCCGTGCACTGTAGGTTTGGCAACATTCTGGCTTCTCCCCATCAGATGTTCCCTCCTCTGAGCTGTGACAACAAAAATGTTTCCAAATGTCCTCTCAGGGTAAAGCAACCTTGTTCCCCTCTGAAAACCCTGGCTCAAGGAAATTTCTCTTTTAGTCTGTCTCACAAATCTTCCCTAGAGTGGTGAAGATGTATTTTTATAACATTCCTCAAAAGCTTCATCAATTTGGGTATTTTTTCCCTAGGGTTCAGTTATAGACATTTTTTCTCTCCTTGTTTTAACATAAAAGACATAAGGGAACATAAAACTATAAAGTGATTGGTAGCAAGTATGAACTCTGTTTAGTTAACACAACCAGGGGATGGTGCTTCGTGTGGGATTTTCCTTGGTATGACTTGGCAGAAAAAAAATGTTTCTGCTTTTCACAAGAGGAGTCAAGAAAGAAGCATTAGTGACAACCTCAAGTTTAAAGGAAAATGGCATTTTTTAAAATTAGGAATTATTTATTTTGTTTTGTCTATTATTATGTTTTAAATTTGCTATCGGGCATGTGTGCTCACCAGAGAGACACAGAAAGAGAGAGAGAAGGAAAGGGAGAAAGCAAGCCACCAGATCTGGGACTTGAAACATGTCTGGCCATGTGGGAGTCCAGCTCCTTAACCACCATGCCACTTTCTGACCCCAGAAGTGACAGTTTCAAGTGACAAGCTACAGAAGGTCTCTGCTATCTTATAAAGCTCAGTTGCATTTACATATAAATACTTCCGTCCTCTTTTAGATTTAACTATAGTGACTGCACTTATGATGTTTGTCATAAAGTTATCCTGAAAGGACATAGTTTTTAAAATAGAACAAAAGAGTAATATTAGAGTAAGTACAGTCTCCCGAACCCCTTGATTTCAGACTGTTTCCCCTGTGTCATACAATCTCACGATCATTACAAAGTGACTCACCATTGCTCCTGAGCAGGTTCTTCTACTTGATGTGAAGCAAGTTTCTCTTTTGATAGTTGGCCCATCAGATAGAAGCCTTTACTCTGAATTTTCTAGTTTTCAACACTAAAGATAGCTTTCTACCTTTGTCCTGGTAAGTTTTAAACCTTTTAGCTGTGTGCAACTGTTTTTTGGTGGCAGCACAATGGGCTTCCCAGTCTCTGCCGGTTGAGCTGTTTCCTTCACTCATTCCTTGAGTCCTCAAGACCACACTGAAACGCCAGGCAAGGGAGTTTCTTTAACTGCCCTCCTCCAGCAGTCTTCCCCTCACTTTCCAAGGCATCCTTGTGCTCTGGGTTCTCCCGAGGCACTGATAGAGGGGCTCCTGGTTGCCACGTGGGAACTCAGAGCCTTCCTGCTCCTTCTGCTGCGTCTAGAACCTGTAGACAAGGCCTTTGCAAGAGGAGCTGAGAGAAACATGAGGAAAAAATTTTTGAATTCTCTTCTATAATTTTGATATATTCAGAACAGTTGGACCTACGGAGGTTTTTTTGTTGTTGTTGTTTTATTTTTGTTTTTAAATATTGTTCTTTTTAAATTTTATTTTATTTTTAATCTTGTTTATATTACATTGACTCACATATAACTTTACAGTGTATTACTTTTCTTTTTTCCAGAAACAATACCATGCATATCAGTCAATACAGAGACATTAAAATCCCCACTTAATCATCCAATAACTATTCATTTTTCCCCAATTATTATTATTACTAATTATTATAATTTTTAATCAATCATTATTTCCCATTTTGCTTGTAAAAAGACTTTACCCAATATGAAATAAATATTGTTCTTGTAACCCATGAATACTCTCTGTTTCAATCAGAAAACTTCCTTCAGGCCTCAGCTGTAGCTGTACAGTACAACATGTTAATAAGGGTGGGGTGTGATCAATCAGTAAAGAGGAACTGGTCCTGTGTCTTAATGATTAAAGGAGTTGGATCCCACATGGCTGACCACAGTTCTAATCTTGGTCCTTTGAAAAACATTCTGGGCATGTGTACCTGCAAGCTCCACGTCCTGACAGGATTGATGAAAGGAAGACAAGGGATTGAAGGGTGACCACACTCCATTTGGGGGGATGTTCACTCTCTCTCTTTTTCTGTCTCTCTCTGGAAAGCACACACACTCCCTGGCAATTAAAAAATAAAATAAGTGGAAAGAAATGGAGTCGAGCCCATTTCATTGTTTGTGATCGAGAAGTTGATTTCTCATTAAGACCACAGTGTGTACCCGGTGTGTCACAGTCTCAGGGAGACACAGTCAGACTGTCTCTTGTGTTTGCTCCAGGGAAGATGGTGGATCTTCCAGGATACAGTCTGTCTGGTGCAATTGCCACAGTCTTCTTCATCACTATGACCGTAAAGCAGCCAGGTAAGACCCTTTCTTCCCTTTACTGAATCTTCTGATTTCTTAGTGATCTTGTCCAGATGCAGAGTTCCAAAGCCAGAAGGACCAGGACAGCATTTAAGTGTAGCTCCCAGGGCCAAAGCACCTGTGATCCAAAAAGGGCTCACCACACCTAACTGTGTCAGCCTTGGAAAGTTGCCTTATGCTTATCTCAGACTCGCTGAAATAATGGCTTTCCCCTGTATCGCATAATCAGTGTCATAAACTCAGGAGTCACATTCAGATATTTGGGCTGCATTTACTTTCAGTCCACAAAATGACCTCTGTGCCAATCAAATGTATAAACCATATGTGGATTTTTTTTTTCAAACATAAAAAAATAAAGCCCTCCCTCCTATTTTGATAGGCTGGACACCCCAGAATGAGCATATTGATCCTCTGGTTTGCATTTCCTGGTTCCTGTTTTTTATTGTTTTGTAGATAACTTGAGAGTGACTGGTCCTGCCCACCCTGTGCTGGCCAGGGTCAAGGAGGATGCGCTACTGACCTGTCGCCTTCTCTCCAAGAGGCCCACGAGGCACATGGAGGTGAGGTGGTATCGCTCAGAGCCTGGCACACCCATATTTGTACACCAAGATGGAGCTGAGGTGACCGAGATGCAGATGGAGGAGTACGGAGGCCGGGTGGAGTGGATAGAGAATGGTGCTGCCGAGGGAAGTGTGGCTCTGAGGATCCACGACATCCGACCCTCTGACAACGGGCAATACTGGTGCCGTTTCCAAGATGGAAACTATTGGGAAGAAGCAAGCTTGCTGCTTCAAGTAGGAGGTAAATGTCTGGGAAAAGACTTAGGGTCTTGGAAGGAGAAGTATCTTTGTGGTGAGCTTACTGTCAATTGAAGAATTTTCTTTGACTCATCAGAATGATCCCTCATGCCCAACTCTCTACCCTGATTCATTTGAAAGCAAATGGTTCTGGAAGCTTTTTTTAAAATTAATTTTATTTATTTATTATCGTCATAATCTTGTTTATATCGCATTGAATTGCATATAACTTTACAGTGTATTACATTGCTTTTTTCAAAGGGGAATGCCATGCATGTCAATTAATACAGAGACAGTAGCTCACTGGTGAAATATTTTCTCAAATACAATTTTCATGGTTTAGACTCCTCTTGAGAATTTTTTGAACTCCATGACAAGTGGGCATGAGTGATTTTGCTGTGAGATGAATGTGCACTACCTAAGGCTGGTGTGCAGATGCCAGTTGGTTGCTGAGTGAGGAGTCCTCCTGGCTACCCAGCAGCTGCATCCTGGTGGAGTTTTCTTTTTCTTTCTTTCTTTCTTTCTTTCTTTCTTTCTTTCTTTCTTTCTTTCTTTCTTTTTTCATTTCCTTATTTAGAAAGTTACTGATAGCACTGAAGGTTGAGAACATTGTGCTTTCGATGACTTGGGGGTTTATAGGTGTTTTCAGACACATATAAGTAAATGAAAAGATTCTGCAGACTTCTACTTTATAGCAAAGAAGGAAGAAGTGGGCAGAAGGGGACAACTGGAGAACCCATCTACTCTGTGGAAGAGAAAATATATCTGAGAACTTCCATATGGTTCCTTACAGGAATCAAGACAAATGCATTTATATTACCAAGAAGTACTTTCCTGGCTAATGCTGTTTTCTTTTCCTTCCTTCCTTCCTTTCTTTCTTTCTTCCTTTCTTTCGTCTTTCCTTCTTTTGGTAAAGGGATGTGTCCTTGCCAGAGAGATAGAAGGAGAGGGAAAAAAGAAAAAAATGCCCTCATGGAAAATTAAATACCATTTCAACATTAAATCAGTGTAAAAACTATAATGTACTATTTACATTATTTTTTTCTTCCTTGTTCTTTGTGTGTGTGTGTTTTGAGAGTTATTTTTTTTTAATTTTAAATATTTATTTATTTATTTATTTGCTATGGGGCGCATGCACTTGTCAGAGAGACAGAGAGACAGAAAGCAAGAAATCACCCCCTGGGAGGATGGCCACGCCACAATCCTTTCTCCTCTCGGGATCTTGGGCAGGCACGTACAAACACCCAGTGTGAGTTTCCACTGGCCCCGGGCCTCAAACCGTGGTCGACCACACTGGAGTCCAGTGACATAGCCATTATGCCAACTGCTGGTCCCATGTTTTTTTTTCATTGCCAAAGGGTACACACACTTACCATAGAGAGAGAGTGAGAGAAGAGAGGAAGAGGAAGAAAGCACCCCCCACTGGGACATGATCAAGCTACTATTCTTTTTCTTCATTTTCTATCCTATCATTATTTTGCATTCTATAGTAGAAACTGAAAGATCGAAAGGTATAAAAGCGTGGAGATCAAAGGTGATACTGGACATATTTCAAGAGAAGGATGAGAAATTTGGACTGGTGAGAGGGAGGAAATCAAGGGGGGAAAAGAAAGAAGTAAAACATTTAAGAGACACAAAAGTAGAACATTATCTGTTAATGATAATGTGTATGGTAACATATTTGACTGATGCTGCTTTCTTCCCACAAGGCTAGATCCTAATGTCTTCCTTTCCTTAACATCATATCTATTAGTATTACTGTGTTCAGGGTTACTCAAAATAAATGACAAAACTTTATTTTTGAGATATGGATGGGGGTAGCATACCCCAAGGCATTTCATGGTCTAGGGCATTTAGAAGAGGCATGAATTTTTTCCTTTTTCTCTTTCTTTCTCTTTCCTTTTTATTATTCCTACATTAAGTCGCTATACATCATTTACATTGTGAAGAGACTTTACTCAGCATGATATACACCTCAGTCCGGCCTAGTTGAGACTATTATGCATGTCCTTGTCAACAGATAATAAACCTTATCTCTGTCCCACAAGTGACTTACCTTTCCATTTCCCCCCCAAATTTCCTTTCCTATGCTTTCCCCTTCCCACAGAATTTTCTAAGGCTCTAAGTGAAAGGAGTGGGTCTCTTTCCCCCAGTAAGGGATACAGACAAAATTCCCATCTTTTGAAAATATAGTTCCCTGTATTTGGGCTTGGGATTTGCAGTGTTGAATAGAAAAAACATTTTAGGATTATGTAACTAGTTCTACACTAGGATTTTTCAAAACCTTTTCCTCCATTGAATGAAATATTCAGATACAAGAACTCCTCATGGAACTTTCCTTTGTGTGCTCGCCAGACAGACAGAGAGAGACAGAGAGAAAGAAAGCGAGAAATCACCCCACAATGGTCACGCCACAATCCCTTCTCCTCCATTCTCCTCTTAGGCTCTTGGGCACACATGCACACGCACCCGGCATGAGTTTTAAGCCACTGGGTCCGGGACGCGAACCGTGGTCGACTACATGGGAGTCCAGCGACACAGCCATTATGCTAACTGCTGGTCCCATGGAGCTTCCCATTTCACTTAGTATAATTTGTCTCTGGTCTAAGAATATCTCAACAACCAACGAAAGAAATGGAAATAATAGTCCACATAGAGTCGGTTTCTCACTTTATGTTAAATGTTCTGTGGAAATTGGAGTCCAGATATCATACAAAATATTAGACTCAGGGCTGGCCCTGTATTATGCAGAGGGAGCCATATCTCACATGGCCAACCTGGGTTTGAGTTCCATCTCTGGCGGCAACACATTCCAGGATCCTGATGATGCCTAATGGGATAACAATGAATTGTAGGAATAAGGATTGTGGCTTAACCAGGTCCCATCAGGGGATGCTTTCTTGTCAGCGAACTTAGCTCGATCTAAGAAGAGGGAACAAACAAAGTGACACAGAGACAGAGTAATGGTGGTCACAGGCAGTTTGTCCACTTTGGCAAACTAAGTGTCTTTATTTATAGGAAAAAAGAAAAGATGGTTACGTGATGTTTATGTCATTCTTTTTTTTTTTTTTTTTTTTTTTTTTTGAGGTTATAGGGTGCATGCACTTGTCAGAGAGACAGAGAGACAGAAAGCAAGAAATCACCCCCTGGGAGGATGGCCACGCCACAATCCTTTCTCCTCTCGGGATCTTGGGCAGGCACGTACAAACACCCAGTGTGAGTTTAAGCCACTGGGCCCGGGACTCAAACCGTGGTCGACCACACTGGAGTCCAGTGACATAGCCATTATGCCAACTGCTGGTCCCATGTTTTTTTTCATTGCCAGAGGGTACACACACTTACCATAGAGAGAGAGTGAGAGAAGAGAGGAAGAGGAAGAAAGCACCCCCCACTGGGACATGATCAAGCTACTATTCTTTTTCTTCATTTTCTATCCTATCATTATTTTGCGTTCTATAGTAGAAACTGAAAGATCGAAAGGTATAAAAGCGTGGAGATCAAAGGTGATACTGGAGATGTTTCAAGAGAAGGATGAGAAATTTGGACTGGTGAGAGGGAGGAAATCAAGGGGGGAAAAGAAAGAAGTAAAACATTTAAGAGACACAAAAGTAGAACATTATCTGTTAATGATAATGTGTATGGTAACATATTTGACTGATGCTGCTTTCTTCCCACAAGGCTAGATCCTAATGTCTTCCTTTCCTTAACATCATATCTATTAGTATTACTGTGTTCAGGGTTACTCAAAATGAATGACAAAACTTTATTTTTGAGATATGGATGGGGGTAGCATACCCCAAGGCATTTCATGGTCTAGGGCATTTAGAAGAGGCATGAATTTTTTCCTTTTTCTCTTTCTTTCTCTTTCCTTTTTATTATTCCTACATTAAGTCGCTATACATCATTTACATTGTGAAGAGACTTTACTCAGCATGATATACACCTCAGTCCGGCCTAGTTGAGACTATTATGCATGTCCTTGTCAACAGATAATAAACCTTATCTCTGTCCCACAAGTGACTTACCTTTCCATTTCCCCCCCAAATTTCCTTTCCTATGCTTTCCCCTTCCCACAGAATTTTCTAAGGCTCTAAGTGAAAGGAGTGGGTCTCTTTCCCCCAGTAAGGGATACAGACAAAATTCCCATCTTTTGAAAATATAGTTCCCTGTATTTGGGCTTGGGATTTGCAGTGTTGAATAGAAAAAACATTTTAGGATTATGTAACTAGTTCTACACTAGGATTTTTCAAAACTTTTTCCTCCATTGAATGAAATATTCAGATACAAGAACTCCTCATGGAACTTTCCTTTGTGTGCTCGCCAGACAGACAGAGAGAGACAGAGAGACAGAAAGCGAGAAATCACCCCACAATGGTCACGCCACATTCCCTTCTCCTCCATTCTCCTCTTAGGCTCTTGGGCACACATGCACACGCACCCGGCATGAGTTTTAAGCCACTGGGTCCGGGACGCGAACCGTGGTCGACTACATGGGAGTCCAGCGACACAGCCATTATGCTAACTGCTGGTCCCATGGAGCTTCCCATTTCACTTAGTATAATTTGTCTCTGGTCTAAGAATATCTCAACAACCAACGAAAGAAATGGAAATAATAGTCCACATAGAGTCGGTTTCTCACTTTATGTTAAATGTTCTGTGGAAATTGGAGTCCAGATATCATACAAAATATTAGACTCAGGGCTGGCCCTATATTATGCAGAGGGAGCCATATCTCACATGGCCAACCTGGGTTTGAGTTCCATCTCTGGCGGCAACACATTCCAGGATCCTGATGATGCCTAATGGGATAACAATGAATTGTAGGAATAAGGATTGTGGCTTAACCAGGTCCCATCGGGGGATGCTTTCTTGTCAGCGAACTTAGCTCGATAAGAAGAGGGAACAGAAATAAAGTGACACAGAGACAGAGTAATGGTGGTCACAGGCAGTTTGTCCACTTAGGCAAACTAAGTGTCTTTATTTATAGGAAAAAAGAAAAGATGGTTACGTGATGTTTATGTCATTCTTTTTTTTTTTTTTTTTTTTTTTTTTTGAGGTTTTTTCGTTATAAGGCGCTTGCGCTCGCCAGACAGAGACATAGAGACAGAAAGTGAGAAATCACCCCCCAGAGGGGATGGTCACACTGCAATCCCTTCTCCTCCATTCTCCTCTCGGGATCTTGGGCACGCACGCACACGCGCCTGGCGTGAGTTTTAAGGCACCAGCTCCAGGACGCGAACCTCAGTCAACTACGTGGGAGTCCAACGACATAGCCATTATGCTAACTGCTAGTTCCCATGTTTATGACATTCTAAAGATCCATAGTTAATTATTACAGGAACAAAAAATCAATTAATGTAAATAACTCACAGCTGTCATACATACTTTGGATTACAACAAAGGAACAGATCTTACTCAATTCTTACCTAGTGAAGCAAGGCATGACTGCAGATGTGGAGGCATCCCAGTACACATCAAAGGGAAATGGTTAAGCTATAAAGATTTAGTAAAAGATAGAGCAGGGGTTGGCCTTCTCTTGGGTCAGGATGTTTCCTGAACTATGTGGATGTTTCCTCAGAGTAGCCCCTGAAAATTCCCTCAGCTTAAGGGAAAGGTCTCACTGCAGAACTCCTGCTATGATTTCAGAGCCAGGTGACATCTACTCAAAACATGTCCCTACACTTTCTCCTTCTTTCTCTCTCTTATGCACATGCACACATTTTCTAGCATTAAAAAGAATAGCCTACTGGCCAGGAGGTGGTGTGGTGGTTAAGGATACTGGACTCCTACATAGTCTACTATGGTTCAAATCCCGGACCTGATGGCTTGATTTCTCACTTTCCCTCCCCCTCCCTCTCTCTTGTTATGTCACTCTCTGATCAAATTAAAATAATAAATAAATAAATAAAGTTAAATGAAATAATTCTTTAAAAAAACTTGTTTTTAATAGCTAAAACCAGACTGATAAATTCTTATTAAAGGGACACAGCACAATACTGAAAAAATGTCTGAGTTAAAAAGAAACCTCTAAAATAAAAAATGTCAGACAAAATGCCTGGTACAGATAATATTAAAATGAAAAGGTAGGGTTTATTGCATAGAAAATTGTACAAGAATTGCACCATATCTTTGCAGCACTGGAGACAAACAATACCACTTTATATCCCTTCTTTCTCATTTTCCTATCTGAATCTGCAGAAATATATGTTCAGATGGCAAATTTAGCGAACAACTTGAGAGCAAATACAGCGTGTCTGAACTCCAATTCCATTTGAATGGGAAGACGACTGGACCACTTTCTGTTCCATAAAGGCCCGCTCTCTCTCCCTCTCCCTCTCAGCAATGTCACTGGGGTCTCGGTCTCTATGCTCTGAGACTTCATGTGCTTTGGG